GTTAAACGATTTCATAGCATTTTCAGTACGATTCGAAACTTAGAGTGTTCTTATTCCTCTGCATTAGATAACACAACGTTGATATTAAATTATTTTTATTATTATTCAGTCGTTTAGATTTTGCCGAATTATCTACCATCTCATAATATGTTTTTTATCACCGACATTTAATTCAAATACTTTGGTGGGTTAATCGACTATTCATAAAGCTTTAGGCTGACTTTGATGCCGAAATTTTCAAAATCATCATTTATTCTGCAATACTCAAAATATTTCTTTTGTCTATAAAAAAAAGTTCAAGGACAAAACACAAGCATTACCGCTCTAAGAGCGGTGCCTGTGCGAAACTAGCGATTCACATTGGATTTGAATCGCTGGAGATTAAATCCCTTTGGAAAAACGTTCTCAGGAAGTTTATTCCACATAAACGCAGTTCTCCAAATGAAAGAGTTTTTGAACAGTGGAGTTCGAGATGTACAGAGTTGAACCTTAAAACTATGAGCAGCCACAGTCCGTCGGGTATTTCTGATATGTCTTGAACACTTTCCGTGAAAGTATCTATAGAGGAAAGACAAACCTCCAACCTTTCTTCGATGTTCCAGACTATCAAGGTTGCAATAATGTTCGAGTCTAGCAGCTTCTGGGTATGCTTAGGGGCGGAGCTCCATACTTGAGAACAAAACTTCGAAGAAGGTCTGATCTGAGCTTTATGAAGCATCAAAAGTTGCTAAAGTGTGTACAGTTTTCTGGTTCAGAACAGTGCTCTGAAAATATTCTGAAGATGGAGCAAATGTATGCTTGAAAATTTTAATCATTTCATATTTGCGAATTATCATAAGTTTCTATTTGATATATATCAAAACTACATGAAAAATGACTAGATAATTGATAGTTGTCAGCACAGAAATAAGAACCATAGGAACTGGGTATGTACTATCATGAAGTTCTTCCGACTCATTTCAACATATTTCCATTAGAATTTTCCTCAGTAAAATAAAGAGGTTTTGAGCCAATTTCTGAAAGCATGTCCATATTCTCCGTTGCTTTTTTCTTCACGGCTTCCACTGTATCAAACCTGGCTTCTTTCAATGCTCCGTTCACTTTTGAAAACATAAAAAAGTCACACGAAGCTAGATCTGGTTAGTAGTGTGGATTTTCCAATACAGGGTTCCCATGCGTGACCAAAAATTACTTACCAATCGGTGCAGTGTGAACAGGAATATCGTCCTGATGAAGCATCCACAACTGTGGTGACTATCTTCTAACTCGCTTATGGAGAGCCTTTATTCACTGTTCGTCCTGCAGATACCCAACTTACACATATAATTCTATGAATGTTGGAAAAACAATCATCATGGCCTTGGAATATTTTAACATCCGGCCCTCTTCAGTAGTTTTGGCTGTGGACTCTTTCAGTGCAGTAACTGGAGTTAGTTTCTGGGTCATAGATGAAAAACCGTGATTCATCAAATGTGATAAATCCTTCCAACAGTTCAGGATGTCAGAACAAATTTGGAACACACACTTTCCTCATATCAATATGTACATGTTATATTTGTTCAATTCTTTGTCGACGGATGAAATTGTCTATTTTTTTGATGTTGTATCCCAATCCTACTGCTTGGAATGTAGAGGAGGTTATAATGTAGTGGTTATTATGACGATGTTCTCTATTAAAATTAGAGATATTTCTGTTCTACACCATATATTTAAATAATAGAGGGAGTTGGAATAATAAAGTGCATATCAAGAAAACATGGCGTGAAAATTCGGCGTATAGCACTTGAGTAGGTTATTTTTGAAAATAATAACTGAGATAAACAAAGAAAAACTATACTTAGTCGGCAATCTAAATTACGAGCATTCATTAAATTCAGTCTGAATTATTCAGAGTTGATCAAAAAATGTCACTGTTGAATCCAACACAACTAACAAAATTGAATTGTCAACGTGATTTCTTTTCGAGTTGAGAATGAGATTAGCTTCGTTAATTTGGCATTTTCATTTGTACATGCTCTGAATGAAAAAGTTTACCTCGATGAAACCTATAAAAAATCTGCTTGTGTTGCAAAATCTCATTTATCGGATGGCGTGCATACAAGAACTCACCGTAAACATTTAGTTTTTAAAACCGTTTACGAAGAAAAGTTTCCATATCCGTTGAAATGAACGTCATAGAAGAACAGTCAGAGCCTAACATTCTTTTACACGTATTGTGGTTGGGATTTTCCTGCAAGTAATTTCTAACAACAAATATGATAAGAGTTGGAAGTGTCAAATATGTTGATGGAGTTTGTAGCAGAAATAAATTCAATTGAAATCCAAGTGTTTGTATTCCTGAATTTTTTTTGTAACGTTCTCAGTGTATTGGAGTGAAGTTATCCACAGATTTCTGGCCACACATGCTGACGTAGAGGAAAATAAAAATCTGTGGTTAGGATACGGAATTATTAGCACCCGTACTAATATCTTTGGCTGGAAATACATATTCACTATAGGTTGAACGTGGAATTATCAAGACTATTTGGTGTTTAACTTTTTTATAGAATCTTGAGTAGATTGACTCGTTGATAATCGTTTTCTCATCAACAATACAAATTTAGGGAAAAATAAAATTGGAAATATCAGACTTAATTTCCAATACTGCATATAGAAATGATATCCAATGATGTGCGTTCATCAAAATCACACAACTTCCAAAGTTTCTTGAGTAGATTAACTTGGTGATGACAGTTTTCTTGTCATTTAAACAGATTTCGAAAAAGAAATTGTTGCAACAATCAGACTCATTTTTTGAGTCTGTAAATCTATCTGTATGGGTGACAAGAAAACGGTTTTCACTATATCGATCTACCCAAGATTCTATAAGAGTTGTGTGATTTTCATGAACGCATATCATATGGTTCCAATTCTACAAGGTGTTTCAAAAAGTGAGTCTGACTGTTGCAACCATTTTTTTCTCGAAATCTGTATGGGTGACAAGAAAACGGTTTTCACTTTATCGATCTACCCAAGATTCTATAACAGTTGTGTAATTTCCATGAATGCACATCTTCTGGTTCCAATTCTACAAAGAATCTCAACAAATGAGTTTGATTGTTGCAACAATTTTTTTATCGCAAATCTGTATGGGTGACAAGAAAACAGTTTTCACTATATTGATCTACCCAAGATTCTATGAGAGTTGTGTGATTTTCATGAATACAAGGAATCTCAAAAAATGAGTCTGCTTGTTTCAACAATTTCTTTTTCGAAATCTGTTTAGATGACAAGAAAACTGTCATCACCAAGTTAATCTACTCAAGAAACTATGGAAGTTGTGTGATTTTGATGGACGCACATCAACGGATATCATTTTTATATGGGTTATTGGAAAGTAAGTGTAATATTTCCAATTTTATTTTTTCCTAAATTTGTATTGTTGATGAGAAAACGATTATCAACGCGTCAATCTACTAAAGATTCTATAAAAAAGTTAAACACCAAATAGTCTTAAAAATTCCACGTTTAACCTATAGTGAATAGGTATTTCCAGCCACAGATATTAGTACGGGTGCTGATAATCTTGTATCCCAACCACAGATTTTTATTTTCCTCTACGTCAGCATGTGTGGCCAGAAATCTGTAGATAACTTCACGCCAATTCTCAGTGTTTATTTGGGAAAATTCCTGCTGCCTGAAGTATCCTTGTTTACAAAACCAATTGTGAAATATTTTGCTGCTAAATCAATGAGGAATTTATATCAATGATCCGGGATATTTCCCATCTAAAATTTGAATGGTTAAATAGGCATTTTCGGAACAATATAAACATATTGGTGTGCTTGTGAATTATTTACAGACTGAATTCCAGTGATGCCAATGATCAAATTTCTATTGAGATTATATTGAATAATATCCTTCCACATGTAAATAGTAGATTCGTAATATAATTTATTTTTATTTATACTTTCAATTTGAGACTTCATTTTACTCTTCATTTTTGGAAATCTTTTTCCAACCATTTTTATTATTGAAAATACGTTTTTTTGCTGAATGAATTACGAATCAATGAAATCGTTAAAAAATATTTTACAATTTTGTTGACGGTTTGAACTTTATTGAAACCATCTTCAGGGCTCAAAGCTTTAGTTTTTTCCATGCAAAGCTTTTTTGTCTTGTCCTGACGCTATAGACAACGCAATATTCTCCTCGATTTTATTATAAAACAATCAGTCTTCGAGTGGATAATATCGCCAAATTTATTGCAACCTGTAAAGACTACCAAATATGGAGATTTTTGAAGGTTAACAATTGGTTCAATTTGGTTCATGAAGGAACAAAAAAAAATTGTGTTTCATTAGATAGAAATAATGAATAGAATAATTGGAGTGCACGGCGAATGAAGTAAATTGTAATTATCATACTAAGTATGTGTTACCGTGTTAGGAATCACACGTTAAAAGGTAAGACCTCGTTAGTTCTTAGCACGCACAAGTTTCTCAACTTCTGAGAGTTGTCGTTCGTATGAGGACGGCAGCTGATTAGCAGAAAAACAGATTTAAAACAGATTTGAAACAGATTTCGTTCATAAACCCTAGGAACGATTTCTTTATGAGTATTATGACTATTAAATCTGAACATCTTTCCTTCGTTTTTTGTCTTTTCAGTTTCAGTTTATGAATTTGAACAATTCTGTTAGATTCGTTTATTCTCGAAAATCAAACTGAACAATCAATGTAAACAAATATGGTTTTGCTCTAGGGACCGAGTATGCTTCAGAAATGTTGAATTTTGATATAATCCCAGCAAGAACAAACATATCTGGGGAATATTTAAGTTTTATGGGGTTCTGATAATATTTTTTGATTGCAATTATGTGTATATCAGCTTTGATGTTTAAATGATGAGGTTCTTTATACTGGGTCGTTTGCCAATTTCCCGAAAAATAACAAAACATTATTAACACTACTCATTATAACAGAACAATAAACATAAAACAAAATATTAGGGAATCTATGAATTTTGGAAAATCAATCGAATTCAATGAACTCATTTTTGTGATATACTGACGGAAGTTGGCTTTTCTGGACGACGTTCTATTTATGTGACTTCAGATGTCTCAGTTTCAACACCTCTGAAGAGTTTTGTACTCTCGAAATTGGTATTCCCAATGTGCTTGGACATGATTATTCATGATCGGATTTGCTGTCTTTTTAGTCCCAAAGTGCCATTTTGTTGAATCAGATTCAGTTGTTACTATGACAAAAATCTATCTACTTTCAAATGATTGTACTTTTTTATTTTTGTGTTTGTTGAATTCTGAGATTGCAAAGTTGATATTCCGAGGTCGTACCTCTACATTCACTCTGTTTAATCGAAAAAATAATAATGTCATTCATCTTCTGATGTTTATCAGTAATATTTTGATATATGACGAACGAAAAATAGTTTCACTTCTTATCCGACTCGTTTTTCAATAACAGAAAATATTCTTGAACTACATTTCTCACCAAGCAGAATTGAATATCTTATATCTCAAAATGCAACATCATTGCAACATCAATCTGTTTCTGCAGAAAAATTCAATACTTCACTTTCCATTTATTCAACATGAGGTAGAAGGCGTCGATGAAACTCCATTCAACGTTACACCTTGCAACAAAATCCCAACACTGAATTTCCCTAAACACCCCATTCAAATCATCCTAGACGCAACTCTCGGAAATAAAAAAAAGTTTGAGCAAAAGTTATTGCATATCACCCGCGCACCGTGATTGCGTCACACCCTCAATTCCTCCATTTTGATGTTGTGTTTGGAGTTCATTTGAGTGTTCTTTTTGGTTAGGGTACCGGTGTTTATCAGCTGTATACTGTGCGTCGACAGCAGTGGTTGGTTTTCCGCCACCTGGTGCGAAGCCAGGGCATTCACGTTGGCCTTGGAAAGCTTCGGAGGAGGCGGAGGTCGAGGAAGGGTGGCGTTGTTCTGCGGCAGGTCCGCAAATTCTGGAGGGGGTAGTTGATGGTGCGAGTGATGATGACCCAGTATGGTGGCAGGGTCTCCTTTCACTCCGATGATGCTGCTCTCTAAGTCCCCGCAGATGTTGTTGGGCATTTGGCCGTTTTCGTTCCTCTTCTTCGATTGGCCTCCTACGGTTTCGTTCATTCGGGTTTTGTCTCTCTGGTAGTAGACTCCGGCGAATATGAGAACGTTCAGGATCAGTAGGGAGCAGCCTATTGCTATGGTGACGCTCAGAGCGGTGGAGTAAGCTGCGAAGCCGTCCTCGATGGGGTGGGTCGTGGTACTGATGCCCCCTGTGGAAATATAGAAGATATTGATAATGTGTAGGTATCAGGATTAGACTAATTTCATCACAGAGTTTCTGGTCCAGAGGGAATCATGATTTAATTAGAGCTGAAGATCAGTAAAATAAATATTTCGGAAGGAATTACGGAATAGCTTCTTTAGGGGTGATTCCATCTCGGATGTTGAGCGGTGCGTCCGAGACACGATTAACTTTATCATTGCTCCGTCGTGATATGATCTGTTTTAAAATAAAGAAGTAACAGTTTTCCACCTCATAAGTAGAACAGAAAAAGCTGTAAAATTTGCACAGAACTATGTCGGATATAACCCAATGTCCAACTTGGTATCCTTGATTACCATTATGCCAAAACAACACATTGGCTCACTGTTCGTAAATATACTTTCTTTCTGAGACCAGACATGTATAAGTGACACCATATATTTAGGAAAAACTTTAAAACGGTACCCAACATTTCTATATCGATTCTAAACTCAAATTTCAGCGATAGGAAAACTATTTGATCAACATAAATTTTTCTCTTCTCCTTTCATCCAGCTGCTTCCCTTTTCCTTATCAAACATAAACTTATTTTTATACCGTTTAAGGGATCTGCTAGATACTTTCTCTGACAAACAATAATTCAGAGAAAAAACTATGTAGAACGTCATAGCCTGTAGAGATGACCTTTTAGTTGGATTGAAGTTAATTTTGACACCATTTGTCATCAAATCGGATCCTGAAAAAGTTCTCTCGATATTTGATTACACTTTTGCAATGGGGAATGTTCCTCAATTTGGGTTATTACAGCAAATGCAAGTATGAACAAAATAAAGTTGAGTTTAATTCATGGGTTTTTCAAATTCACTTCGAAAAGTATTCAAATTGATGTTTCAAATGTTGGGTCTTAATTTTTGAAGGGATTTGTTTCCAATTCACATATTGGCAACAGCGCCTATATCAAGTTGAAATAATTTATACGTACCTAGATATTCCACTTTAAAAAAGGAAAATTTTCTTCATAAATCAACATTTAAGGCAAAATATAAATTATAGTTCAATACCACCTCTACAAGCCACATAAACAACAGTTGTTTTGTTATTTATTTATATAGATAAAGATAGGTTAGGTGCACAACATGTCATATGTTACAGAATGTCTAGGAACTCGGAACATAAGTAAACAAAACAGCATGCCTCTAAAATATGTCATCTTTGTTTGTCTTATACAGGTAACAGATTCATTGTCCTTTATAAGCTATAACCGATGTTGCCAAATGGTGAAATAGAAACAAATCCCTTTAAATGTTGAATGCATTATTTCATTCCTCTTTCTTGAGTATTTAAATAATTTTTTCAAGAAAAAGGTTGAAATGATAAGTTTAAAATGCGTTGTTTTAGAGCTCTTTAATGAAAACTACTTGATTTTCGTCAGGAGGAACATTCTCCATAAATGTCATTTGAAATAATGGCTAACATCGACTTCCGCAGAATTCTGATGAATACACGTAACCAGTGTTAATATTATTCTCCCGTAATGTATATGGTTGGTCTATTAGAAGAAATATGATGATAAAAATAACCATTGGTTTATTTCCCTCACTGTCTTTTCTAATCCTATCATTGACCATAAATCTGCATGAAAATGAAAAAAACAATTAAATTTGCCGTTAGTTTCGATACTATATAACCAAAAGTTCAAACTTTACATCATCAGTCATTTCCAATGAATAGATTCATAGTTGTGTATCCATAAAACTGAACTTTTGATCTGTTCTACTGACCAAACGAACATATACAGTTATGTTAATATTGAAAACATGAAAAATTGTCACAACTTTTTCCATTTCGAAAATCTATTATATACATAAACAGAATTGGGAACTTCGATATCGAGACGGATTATGTGACAGATGATCGGCATAGGACATATATTGTAATAGAAAAGTTGGGGAAATGAAATTTTATTGGGCCATTTCTAATGCAAAACTTGGCTATTTGGTAGATGTTGCTTTTATCTATTTTTTTCTGAACTATTCAACTTATATTTCGAACTTTCGAAGCTACAAATTCCCTCAATGAATAAATACATACTACAAGCTGAGTTAAAAACTTGTAACCCTTTTACTTCATTTGCAGAGAAGTGAAGGCTGAATGTCTTCAGCGTTTGTAGATGAAAGTTGAATCAGATTTTGTCCGAACTGTGAAAACAAGATGCTCACAGTCGTTAGAGAACAATTTATGTGAAGTTCAATGATACACACCAATAATCAAATATCCCTATGGTAGAAAAAGCCTGGATGGAAACAAACACCTTAATTTTATCGCCTTATACTGTTCAAGTATCTATATTAATTTGCAATTATTCACGAACCAAACAATATGGGCAGACTTGAATGACAGCATAGAAGGTGAACTACCTTCTCGGTCTTCATAACTGAATATAAACAAAACAGATGCAACTTCGAGGAAAGTAATTCATTTCTAGTAATTCTGGCTTTCGCCTTGACCCAATAATAGTGGGGAGGCAATAGTCCCAAGTCTCCATGACCTGATAGAAACTTGAGGGAAGGTTTCAACAGGCAGAATAACCCAATTTCAAGACATTGACATCGGAAAAAGTTGAACGGGGAAATGGTTGTCATAACCAACAAAACCTCAATAAAGCTCCTAGCAGAAGGTTATATATAATTCAAAAACCCCAAATTAACATGACAGGTCCATCAAATTTCATCCTCAATTCAAGCCCAATTTTCAACTTTTGGAATACTTTGATATTACTGGAGTTTTTTCCCAACCCCAAACCGTTATTTTTAACACCTCGACACGTGTTTTGATCGCCAAGTGATCATCTTCAAGAGGAAGATCAAGAGTTTAATTTTCCTCTTGAAGATGATCACTTGGTGATCGAAACACGTGTCGAGGTGTTAAAAATAACAGTTTGGTATTGAGTAATATTCATTACTACACCAAAAGTTCCAAACAGTTAATAACAAGTTCTAGAACGGAAAAACAGATTTTTTTTGAACTTACCAATTACAGCGATAAATTACCTGTGTCGTCACACAAACGCACACAAATGCCTTTAAAACGGAAGAGAGAGAGAGAGAGAGAGAGAGAAAAGAGAGAGGGGAAGAGGATTCCTGGTTCTGCCGTTCTGCCAACTTTTATTCAATAATTGTGTCTTTAGAGATATCCGAATTTACATAGAATATATTTATAGCGTTTTCTTGTTGAAGAGGTTGATTGTAATCTCTGAAATAAGCATAAGCCGAACTTCTGAAACTATTCAGTTTGAGGTTCTTCAATAATGCTGGAAGCTTTACGAGTCAAACTATAATAATATATCAGAAAAATATTTTCAAAACGAGCACTTTTCTCAAACACCGGAACTGGTGAAGAGTATTGCAGTTTTGGTGTTTGGTGCTTGTGCAGAGGTTTCCGTTTTATCTTTTATTTTTTCAGAAAAGTTTTTGTTGAATGTATTTCAACATATGTCTTGATATTAACCAACAATCCGATCGATACTTCTTATAACTTTAGGTTAAGATATCGGTTTCAAAGCGGATCCCTGAAGGTCTATACGTACCCAACTCTTCTACCCTCTCCGTGGAATCCAGAGGATTGACAGTCACCGAATTATTGGAAACCGGCTGCTGGTAATCAGCAGGCAATTCAGTCGTTGGAAGTTTCTTAGGATTCAACGTCGGTAATTTGGGAGGCGGTGGTTCGTCATCCGGGAGGTCATGGTGGGACATTGGAACGTCATCGCCTCCTGGTTTGTGAAGGTCCGGGACTAGGTTGAGCCAGAACGAGAGTCTGTGAGCTCGGTAGTGGTTTTTCAGTTTGGGCTTGGTGTCTGAAAAAAGAAAAAAATTCATAGATTCTTATTTGGTATTTTTGGAATTGAAAATTTTTCACAATTAGTTTTCACTAGTCCAAAAATTACCCTCTTCCCTAACACACACATTTTCACAAAAAACATTTTGCTGTCAGTGTATTCAACAACAAAATCTGTTTTTGACATTTGTAACTTCAGCAAATGAGGCGTCCTTTTTCAAAAATATGCTCTTATTATATGTTTATTCAAAATGTGTATTCCCTTCTCTTCCAGAGTTCATAAAGGAATTCGATCCTGAAAAACGATACATCCTTACTGTTTTTTTTTAAAACTAACTACTTTTCGATTGAGGCTGAAATGTACCCACTTGGTATGAATAATCATCATTTCAATTACTATCCATTATTGATTCTCATCTCATAGATTTTGCGCCGTCTCAGAATATTTTTAACAACACAATACCTATATTATCAAATATTTTTTTTTGTAATAAACTCCTATGATTTAAATGAACTGAGATAAATATGTTTTCTAAGGAAATCTAATGCTAATAACGGTTACAGGTCGTTATATTCCTTACATTGGTAAAACTTTAGTCGTTCACTAATGGAGAGTGATGATGGGATAGTTCCTGCAAATGTTTATAATTAAGCAGCCCTACATAGAAAATATTTTGCTCGAAAAATGGAAATTGCGAAGTCAACGTATTGTTAGCATTGTGTCAACATTTTCCAAACGAATTAGTAGCAACAATGAGGAAACAAGTGCGGGTAGAGGAAGGAACTTCGCATTTGTGATTCAAGGTTTTTGCAGCGTCTAGAGCAGCGATTGAAAGCGAAGTGAAACAGTGAAACAAGTCGAAATTATGTAAAGTGGTATTGAGGTATGTATGATTTCAGTCATAGAATGAAATCATCAACTGTATCACTTATTGAGAAACCCAAATGCGTAATTATATTTATATCAAGTTTACAAAATAGATATATATTCCACATCAAGTGGTAGTAGTATTGTTAATGTTAGAGACGCTTGATAAATAGAACTGGAACCTCTGGCATTGAATAAATCTATTCAATAGAGTTACAGAAGCAACAATCAACGCACACTCATATAAAATAAATGAATATTCCAACTTGACAAGCTAATGGACCCCTTTTGGGCGTAAAAAAGTTCCCTACTAAAACATTCCTACTATGACTACAAAGATCAAACTCTGCATAGGTTCTGAAAATATTATAGAACATTCAGAAATGAAAAAACAATAATATAATGAATGCGAAAGTACATATAATGAAAACTTTGAGAGCGAAATCCGCAATAGGTATTTCAGGAATATTGAATTATCAATGAGTCGGCCCATCCACGGGTTAGGATAACAAATACATAAGTAAGATTGAGTAATTGTACTTTTAATTTTAAAGAAATCCCCATGATTCCAAGATTTGCAAAGACTAATCTCATATGGAGTCATTAAAGATCTGAGTTATACCATTTAAGCTAACAAATGTCTGAATAAATGTATAGATTTATTGAGGTCTTCAAGAGTCACAGATGAAGGCAAGCAATTGTCTTCATCTTTGACGAATTTATTTTCTGCAGTTTCATTACGCAGACAATACAAGATCTAGAAATGAATAAGGAAAAAATCCTTGGCTTCAGCCACAGCTTCAACAAAATCAGTTTTCAATATATTTCGGTAAAGTTTGATTGACTACATCACACACATTCAGTTTGTTAGTTCATGGCAGATGAACCTCTAATAGTTAATTTTTCCAGGTTTTGTATGATGTTAGATTTGTTATAGTATGTTCAAGGTGTGTAACCACCAACCAAAGGAACCACTGAATCAAAAAGACATTTTTGAATGTTTCTTTAAACCTAGAAAGACCATTAGATGAACCATTTCTGGTATCACGTCAGAGAGCTTCGATTATTTATTTACTCCGATGAGAATGTCCAAAATGAATAATGTAGGTGATGGCATTATTTTAGTCTCTTCAGTAATTATTAGCGATGCTATCCAAAACCCAGTAAGTTATGATTTTTCTACTGTTTATTCTCAATTCCACAAAACAGATCATATCTCCCACTTGACGCAAAATGACAGAGTGGTAATAATGTTCCCTTTAATTGATACATGTTAGAGAAGCGAGTAAAGTTTTCTACAAAAGGTCCTCCTATCAGTTTCACAGTGTTCTATTGTGTGGTTTAATACTCGTGTATTGTTACTACAGGTTGAACTTATCAATATAACAACATGAATTCAGGAATATCTTTACAATGAATGATGAACACTTCCCAATGGCCGCAATAGTGATCCTTGGGGAACGCTATATGTATAGCACTTTTTTGCTAACTGCTTGATAACGATGAATCTGAATCATTGAGAGGTAATGGTATGAAGAAAAACTGGTCCTTTTCTCCAATAACCACTTCGCCAACTCCATCTTAATAATTTAATCAAAGACGCATAAATCCTTTATGAGCACTTACTCAGGCCATTCGTCCCCACTTCCATTCCGACATTTCACCAGTAATTACTATTAAGGTTTATTCGGTCTCCGAAACGCAGTTGGATAGTGGAGTCGAAGCGGAGTAGAAACCGACAGATAGAACAAGATCGCGATCTTTAATGACATAATTGTAGATTTGCCGAGGATTATACCTGTGCGTCGGATTAAATGTGACATGGCCTTTCTGTTCATGTCCCACGCCGAAAACGATAATTTCGAGGCGGAAACTTTTGTCAGTCGAGATTTTATTATCATAGATTTAATGAATAAAGTTTCCACAAAAGCTACCGTGGAACTGTTAATTGGTTGAAAATTGCATACTAATTTAATCGTGTTCGAGATTGTTCATTTGACTAGTAGCGATGTGAAAGGACGATGGGTCATAACCACTTTTCGATAAGGAAAGTTTCAGTTCAGTTTTATTATATTTGGATAGTTGAAAAAGTTCCTGGAGGAGAATCGGCGGTATAACGTTATCGATTAACAATGTGAAAACTTGATTGAACAACTCAGGACCTAAATCAGAAACAAAATAGAAAAAAAAACACAAATTCATATTATGTGAGATATTGCTATAAAAGAAAGGGTGAAGGGTGAAGTAGTGAACTTCGCCCAAGAGTCAAATACCTGTCACTATAGACTAGTATATTGGTTATCTTGTCAGAAAACTAACATCGTTAATAAACAGCTGTTTTTTTTTTTAAATAAAATAACTTTTTTCTTGAGTATCCATGTCCATGAATCAAGAAGTGCAGAATAGTGAATTGAGAACGTTTTGAAGGCGATATCACTTGCAATCCTTCTTTACTTGAAATGTTTACAGGGGTAGCTATTCCCTCTAGGAGGTTGAAGGGACAGTTGGATTATTTAATTGGAAAAGCGTATTTTCATATAGAATAAAAATTGACCTTTTCCATGATTTTTCATGTGCATTCATAATTATGTAGAAATTGAATGTATACGTTACTTCAGGATCTCACTGTATATAAAACTGTACTAGTATTTGAAACGGAATCTGAACAAGTTCGTGAACAATTCAGACAATGATGATCATTTCATCAGGCAGAGCTGTCTTATTCAAATTTCAAGGCATACTACTGTTCTCTTTGAAAGAGTATTCAATTTTACAAACATGTACCCTCCGATAATTGAAATCATATATACCATTGCAGAATAACTCTGCAGTAACCTTGATGTATAAAGATTCTGTATATTTCATTTTAACTTTGGTTGGCTAATAATGAGTGATTTTTTTGCTGCTATCCTTTTGGCAACACTGTTTTTGACAGATCACACGTGAATCGCGTCTTATGTCATTGTCATACTTGTTCAGTTTGGTCTATAATTTAACCATGAATCAACTTACGAATCAACAACGATTGCAAATTATTGAATTTTATTCAAAATTCATGCTCGGTGAATGAAGTGCATCGTGCACTTCTTCCAATTTATGGGCAGTTTCGTCTGCCTACTGAGGGAGCTATTCGGAAGCTTGTGACTGAATTTCGAACCCAGTTTACATTATTGGACATTAAACCACCAACACGCATACCTAGAGTGAGGACCGAAGAGAATGTTGCGGCTGTATCCGCCAGTGTTCGTAATGACCGTGAAATGTCGATTCGCCGCCGTTCGCGGCCACTACGTGGAAAATTTTGTGAAAGGATAAGGGTATAAAACCTTATAAGATACAGCTGGTGCAAGAATTGAAGCCACACGACCTCCCACAACTCTAATATTTGGTGAATGGGCGCTGGCAAAGTTGGAGAAAGATCCACATTTTTATCGAAAAATTGTGTTCAGCGACGAGGCTTATTTCTGGTTGAATGGATACGTTAACGAGAAAAATTGCCGTATCTGGGGTGAAGACCAGCCTCAAGCATTGCAAGAGCTACCGATGCATCCCGAAAAAGTCACTGGTTGGTGTCGGTGGCATCATTGGGCCGTACTTCTTCAAAGACGAGAATGGCCAGAACGTTACTGTGAATGGCGAGCGCTGCCGTGTGATGAATGACAACTTTTTGTTGCCCAAAATGGAAGAATTGGACATGCCTGACATGTGGTTTCAACAAGACGGTGCCACGTGCCACACGGCACGCGAAACAATGGCCCAATTAAGAGCCGCCGTCGGTGAACAGTTTATCTCACGTTCGGGGCCCGTCAATTGGCCGCCTAGATCGTGTGATTTAACGCCTTTGAATTATTTCTTGTGACACTCTGGAAGCCAATATTGAAACATTTATACATGAAATACCGGTCGATACGTTAGAGATGTCAAAATTGGACCTTGCGCCTGGGCCATCTAAAGCGGAGCCGCGGAGAATATTTACATGAAATCATCTTTAAACATTAAATTATATTGATCGTTTTATCGATTCCAATAAAGATTTCATTAATTTTTTCAAATTTTTTGTGTTGTTTCGAAAATCAAATCAAAACAAATAGATACAATATTTTTTCATCAACCCAAAACTTCAGGTTTTCAACTTCAAAACTGACGAAATTCGATACAATCTTTAAACCCCTATTTTCCCCCTTGGGGGTGGACATTCCTGATTCCCTTTCTTGACTTGACACGTGTGCATTCAAGTGCAGGTAGCAAGAGCTCATTGAC